AGAGAGTGTGTGTGTGTGTGTGTGTGTGTGTGTGTGTGTGTGTGCATGTGTGTGTGGCCAAAGTTAAGTGTCATTGCTGCCTGCATAATATAATAATAATTTCATGACATTGTTATTATTATTATTTTTCCTCGCTTTTTTCGGTCATGCGTTGCCCCGGATTTTAAAAATATTTTCTTTCACTTATGGGATACTATGTGTAACCCTGCATGTTCTGAACTGCTATTCTAAGGATTAGAAAGATAAGATAAGATGCACTTTTAAGCCCATCAATGCTAGGCCCGTTAATTGAGTGATGAGGCAAGTCTTCTACTTCTAGTACAAGTAAAAGGACATTCCTGCGTTTCGTAGATTTAAGTTTAGAGAGATAAAAATAATATATTGCAGGCTTTTTAATTAAAAAAATTTTTTTTAGTAGTTTGGTATGGTCGTTGTCTCCACCGACAGCCCATTAACCGTCAAAAATCTCACCCCACAACTACAAGGACAGTGATCTGATCTCGCAGAGACGATCCGACGTTTGTGTTAACGAAACTTAGCCCTCGAGATCTCATGCAGACCTCCAAACTTTTTTCCCCGCCAGCCTCTCGAACTTTTGGGTCGATAGTGCCGTAAAACACCTACTCAATCAATCAAACCACTCGAACTTGTAGGGTTAAGTCAAGAAAACCTTATTACCTACCTTTAGTGATTGAAAATGAAACGAACTCGAAATATTCAGAAATAAGGCCAAGAGAGAAAAAAAGAAGTTTCCAAAGACTCTAAGTAGTCTAAGGCTGTGGAAATTACCAAACTTTGACGCCGTTTTCTCGCCAGTTTCACCACTGAAACCAGGCACCCCTGACCTTTTTCTGTCGCAAATATTTCGACTTCTATTCAACATAGATGTTTGGGTTTTTTCCCAATAAAAATCAAGGCAGATGAATAGGTTTAAGTTGATGCCAATGACTACCCGATATACCCAAAAAATGTCGAGCGCCTGATTCCACCTCGTCGCGCCACATTAACGAAATCAATAATAAGTAGAAGAACACAATCAATAATAAGTAGAGAACACAATCAGTAATAATAAATAGAAACACAATCAATAATAAATAGAAGAACACAATCAATAATAATAAATAGAAACACAATCAATAATAAATAGAAGAACACAATCAATAATAATAAATAGAAACACAATCAATAATAAATAGAAGAACACAATC